CCAAAGGCCGTAGTAGATAGTTATGGTTAATCGAGCGGAATGTCTCTGTTAGATTTTGGTCGAATGTGCTATCAACGTGACGGGGGGTCACAGCAGTGACGGCGATGGAGGCTTGGAATAGAGTTTAAGCGTTGAGGGGTAGTGACGGCAAGTGGCGACCATAGTTGCGACAGCAACAGCGCGCCCGCGCGCTGACAGGTAGCCTTTCAGTCCTCAGCTGTGTTGGTCGTTACAAGGGGCTTTCTTTTAAGCAAATCGGATAGTTTCCAGGGTCATTTGTTCCGGCAGGAACATTCGTGATTGTGTTGGATATCGGTTGAGAAAGACCTCTGACCTCACTTCCGCTGCATCAGAGAGTGAGCGAAAATCGGAATCGGTGTTAGCATAAACAGGAAATGGCTAAAATAAACAGGAAACGCAGGTGTCCTGGGCCTTGAATAAACAGAGCGGAAAGGTGTCCCGAGCGGAAGGTGTAGAAACGTGAAGTTGCGTGGGTGTCCAGATGTTATAAAAACGGTCCAACTCTTGGCCTCGGAGAGAGGCTGGTTAGAGTTTCACCGAAGATTTTGTCTCCGTCAATTCCTGTATGCACAATCCTAACCTTTGTGATTCTCTCTCACTCTACCTAATCGACGTAAATCGAACAATAAAGCAATTAACATGTATTTTTATATATTTTTATTATTTGAGTCCAGCAGCAATATACAACAATTGTTTAGAGTATTACTTTTATTGTTGGGATTTATTTTGCGGGCCGGATGTGATGCTCCGAGCCTATGCGCAGAACACAGCTTTTTATTTTGTGTTTTGCTTTCTTGGTCTTCACATCCAGCCGATATGTAGTATGAATCAGGAGATCTAATTGAGCGGAGTATAACAAGGTATAAACTATATAAGTGCCCAAGCAGTAAAGGTAGAGCAGCTGTCAGTATGCGAATATTGTGTGTTGATCGGAAGAAGGGATTCGCTTCTCTGCCAATAATATTCGCTCAAGACGCAGAGGAACATCCCCCAGGCAGTAACTCTATTTTGAAAGAGAGCTGGGTTTATTGCCCGTCGCCTGAGGCGTCTTCAAAATGGGAAAGTGCCGAGGGGTGCTTGAGATTTTTTCAACGGTATACTTTATCGGCAAGTTTATCACGTTGGTTTAAGGTACTGACACTTTGGACAGTATTCCGTGGCCTCATGTCATGTGTTTGGGATCTTCCAAAATTAAAGCTTATAAAAACATACTTGCGGACGTTCATGACTCAAGACTATTGGCTATTTTGTCTATAGAAAATGATTTTATAAAGAAAATAGTTATAGAAAGTGTCATGAAAAGATTTGCAGGTATAAAGGCTAGAAAAAATGCTTGTCACATTGCCGATAAAGTGACACAAGGTTGAGGAGGGTCTATCAGATAAACCCTCCTCGACTTTGTGTCACACGGCGTTGCGATGTGGGGCGCGGACTGAACACTCTCCCGGTATGCGATATAAACGACTGGCGAGTGGCAGATAAAATACGAAGGAAATCACACTTCATAACATAAGGGTTTTGAATTGTTTGTTTTGGGTATAGCTTGATGTTATATATGGATAGTGGTTGCCCTATGGTTGCTGGTACCCCGGGTAAACTGAATTTCAGCGCCCTAACAACTATATTGTTTTTAAATTTTCACAAAGAGAAAAATTGAAAATGTAGAATAAGGAGTTTATTATAATATACAACTTAAATACTAGCTAAAGAAAACATTCATTATTCGACCTAAAACATTTTGTTCTAGCCTTTAGATCTGCAAATCTTTTCATGACACTTTCTACACCTATATTCTTTATAAGATAATTTTCTATTGACAAAATAGCCAAGAATTTAATCTGTCTTGGTTCATGGACGACCGCAAGTAAGTTTTTATAAGTTTTAGTTTTGGAAGATACAAAACACATAATATGGTGGCAAGAGGGCTCCCGAGGCCAAGATGGTTCTCTGGGTGTCTGACCGAATTGTCAGCACCTTGAACCAGCCCTTTATGTGGATCAGTGTTAGTTTTGGGTACAAGTTAGTTGGTGAAAGTTTTTTTTTTCTCTTTTTAATCAGTTATTAGAGGTACCAGTTTCCAATAAAAGTTATTTTGTATTCGGTTTATGATACAAATAAGTTATTAAACTTTTCATTGTTATTTTTAGTAGGGATTTTGTATGAAGTCTCAAGGGTCCTTTTTCATTTCAATTTTCAAAATATATAAAAGTTTTTTTTTAATAATTTCACCCCCAAGCAAGGCAATAAAGCCACTAGGACACAAATGGGTTACTCAGTGTTTGAGAATATAAGAAAAACTATCATTAGGGAGGACAATAAAAGAATAAGAATTAAGAATATAACGATTGACATTGCATTTAAATTTTTGAAGATCGAAGTTGACTGGGAAGCAAGAAGCCAGAAGAGAGTTCCACAAGTAAGAGGTACGATAGAAGAAACTGTTAGTATAGAACTTGCGGTTACAGTTTTATGTAGTTTTGTTGGGAGTTTTTATAGTTTTATATTTTAGTATAAAGTTTATTTTTCTTTAAAAATTTGAGGATACTATTTGGTTTAGTGGAAGAATTATTTGGTATTGTTTGCTTGATAATATTTTGTTCGGATTTGACTGAGATGATGGCAACTTATGTGTATATATTCGACTGTGGTCGGTACTTGACATCTGTTGCTTGATGGGGAATTTCAATTTTTAGTATATGTGTATCAGATTTGTATGTCCTATTCGGAGTCTGAATAAAACTATTTCTTCCTACAAAATAGGAAGAAAAAGTTCAGCTCCAAGAAGAAAAATAAGTAAAAAAAAAAAACAAAACAAAACACCCCACCCACCAAAAAAACAAGAAGAAGAAAGAAAAAAAAAACAACCGAAAAACGATAAGAAAGATTGGTTCTGGTTTGGTTTGGTTTGGTTTGGTTTGTTTTACGGCCTATCAACCTCAATGGGTTAATTTAATGCCGACAAGATTTTTATTGCAGCTAATATATTTAAAAAATATATTGCTGCTAAAATTTTTTTTCAAAAAATATATTGCTGGTAATATTTCTTTTTTTTCAAAAATTCATTGCTGGTAATATTTTTTTACTAAGTATTTCTGGTATTAAAGCCCATTTTTACACTTTCATAGTGATTTGACCCCAGTTTAGGGGTTAACTATGTGCCCATAGCTAGGACCCTAACAGGTGCTACCACCCGAATCAGGATGGATCTTGGAACACCAGCAATTAAAAGGTGTTTCCACGCTCATCAAAGCCTCCTGATCAGAGGCCTTGCTGCCGGATGTAGTTTATCGTCTTACCCAGGACGTGAATGTAGTTTATCGTCATACCCAGTCCGCTATATCTATAGGGCTACTATAGTATGAGATCTACTATTCATTTTCTACTATGGTATGATATTTACCAACTATTGGAAGAATGAAATATGTTACGGTCAAGGGTTAGGGTTAGGAGTTAGGGTTAGGGGTTAAGGTTAAAGGTGAACTGGTTATGCATTAAAAATCATTAACAATTTTTTATTCAATTTTTTTTTTTAATCATCAAATAGTTATTTTAATGTTTGTAAACTGATTTGATGTCATTTTTTAAAAAAAAAACAGTAAACAGGTCATCGTTTTTCCTGAGCATTTTCTAGCAATAATAAGTGCATCGTCATTTACGGTTGGTTGCAAATACCTCGGTAGACAGATATACTTAGTAGCACCTGTTATTGTTTGTACTATTTTTTAAAAATGCCGTGTCTCTTCAGGATTTATGCGATCACGCCTCTCCACGGCTTCCTTTTGTTTATTATCTATTGATTTTTCGGATTACGTGGTTTTCAGTTGGCTTCTCCACGGTTCCAAATTCGGAGTTTTCTTTCTTTTAGTCTGGTTGCCAGTCAAGGTTAGAAACCCCTGTCTGAGCTGTCATTTTACCCATAGCTGGGGAACAGAAGATCTGGCTATTTCCGAATGGTATCAGTGTGAAAGCGAACAGAACAGACTCTGCTGGAATTCGAACTCGCCGATTCCGCTTTTTGCGTCGATAGCCGTCACGCTAATCGCACTTCCTATAGCTACTTAGAACTTCTAAAATGGCTGTCTGACGGCTCTGCATACGTTTGTTACGTCATCGACATTCCAGAAGGGACCCTCACTACAAATATGTGCCATTTATCGAACATGAATACTTTCAGTCGGAATTTGAATTCGATTATTTTTTTACTGATTCCGTTTTTTAACTTAGCATGCTCGAAGTAAGGGTGACTAAGGCCAGTGATAAGTACTAAGTCAAAAGTCGACTTTTTTTGTCGTTAAACTTAAAGAATTTTTCCTTGATTGACGAATTCTAGCCTAACTGACAAAATTGTATAAATTTCCACCGGGCATCAAAAGATTTATTCGACATCAAGAGAAATTACCAGAAGGTAACAGACAATTTCTGTACATTCTATTTAAAAGAACATGTGTAATTGAAGGGTTGCTGTCTAAATATATTTCAGTTGTGAGAAGTAAATTATATACCAGTGTACATTAACTGGTATATTTAACGTTAAGTTTAACAAAGCACAAAAAAGGAAGATTGTGTTGCGTCAATCTCAAAAGTATAATCTGTCTTTGAAAATAAGTCTTGAAAAAAACTCTTGATCCTGTTTTTTTTTTTCTGGGCTCGACCATTAACGCTAGTTGTCGGAAAAATTCTTTGAGCATGCAGTATAGCCAATTCGGATTAAAATGAATGGAAATATCAGTTTTCCTTTTAAATCGTAACGTTTTTTTTATCTGGTTTACAAGTTATGCTTGCTCTTGCAGCTTGCTGAATTGCGATTAATTCTCTTCCAGAGGCAAGTGTTCAAGCCCGGGCTCAGTAAAGTTAGTATTTATTTATAGTTTTATGATTTTTTTTAGATGTATACAGGTTCTTTTCATTTAACGGACTGACGTAAAATAATCTTCCTATTCTAGTTTATATCTAAGGTCGATATCGGTAGGAAATATTCTATGATCGCATATCGAACTGGAGCAGGCCCAAACACGCTGAAGCCAACCAGAGTTGTCTGCCCTTACTTCGTCGTCAGTAAAAGAATGGCGGACGACATACAATGCAACGTCGCGGCAGTGGAAGGATTTTCGGGCGCAAAAGACACGACAGCCAGTCGAGAAACCCGCCAAAAAATGAACGTAGATTTCACCGACAGAACGTACGATTATTTGCCACCCCGCTGCTGATCCTGTTCGCCGTTATTCGGGCGATCGCAGCCCAGTTATGGCTTGTACTTGTCATACTGGTGTGCAAGAGTCGCAAGTCAATAGCTTTTCACAGATGCTCGGAAAAGATGTCTAAGAAGAAAAAGTGTCCCGACGAGGAAAAGGCCTTCATGGTGTCTCATCTGGGCGAGTCGGGTAAGGTCCGGACTACCACCATCGGTCCTGGGGAGCCTTCACTCTCTAAACAAAAACATCACCACAGAAAGGCCTTTGAGTACATATCAAAGGCCCTCAAAATAGACGAAGAGGAGGCAGGTAAGTACCCCAAAAATACAACTTTTACAAGGACCCTTATCTTTTTGATCAGCTTTGAAGGAACAACTTGTTAAAAAACAAAAACGATAAAAAAAAAAAAAAAAATCCTATCATCGTAATCCAAGGACGAGAGAAAAATAGTTTCAAACCAGAAAAAGTTGTTTTTTCAAACCAAATTAATGCTGTGTGTGTACAGTAGGGTACTTGTAAAATCTTTTTTTTTTTTTTTATTATTATTTATTGTACTTAAATTCCTTTCGAAGTTTTTTTTTTTTTTTTAAATGACTTTTTTTCTTATAAAGTTGCTACTCAGACTATTTTAAATGGTGGGGCGTTTATTGTTTGTACTTTGTACCCACCTTTAATACGGTCAGTCTACCCAATTAAAAAATGTTTTGATTTTTAAGATTTAATTTTTTAAAAATTGAGTTATTCTGAAGTTTTTTTTCTTCTGTGTACTCCACAAGCCAAACCCCTTACAACATAGCGGTCAGTCTATAATTTTGAAAATATGGTTTCTTTTTCATCGTTTTGTTGTTGAAAATTGTCATAGCAAATATTTTTCTTTTTCTTTCCGTTTTTTTATTGTCATATTAAAAATACACTTATTTAAATTTTGTGACATAATTTTTCAAAATAATGGAAAACATTTAATTATCAAACTTGACCTTAATAAATTTTGAAAAATTAAAAAAAGCCGAAAAATACTTTAAATAGTTTTAAAATTTACCCCTTTTTAGTCTTCAGTACAACTTACGGTTATGACAAAGCTTCGTCATAACCGTATATATGTATATTGATTTATTTAATCAACATTATCTTCACGTCTTTTTTAAGTATTTTTTATTCATAGTTTGATTTGGGGGATATTTTATTTTATTTTTATTTTTTCAGATTGCATAAAAAAGTTAAATATTTTGGCTAAAGAATTAAAAAATTATGCAATTATTTTATTTTATTTTATGACTGTGTAAATCTGAAAGATTTTACAAGCACCTTAATTTTTCCAGTGCTTTTTGTTCTTTTTTTTTTTTTTTTATATTTTCATTTTTTTTCCTTCGTTTTAAATTTTCTTTTTCATTTCATTTTTTATTAACTGAATTTAAAAAAAAAAAAAAAAAAATAAATTTAGATGTTAATTTCCGTTTTCATGAGAATTTTGTCCACTTTCCATCCAAATATCCCTTAACTAGTGTCTATTGTCTCTAGGCAAAATGGGAGGAGGAAAAAAGAACAGTCTCATTTGCTATGTCAGTGCTGAAAACAAAACTTTTGTCAAACATAACATGCCATAAACAAAGATACATTTTTAATTTAAAAGTGTAAAAATAATCTTATCCGCTAGTTTATTTTTGGTCGGTCGGAAGAGGCGAACAAAGAACAAGCTTGTTGAATATTAGAAAAAAAATGTTGTCCTTTTATTTTTTAGATTTAAATTTTTCACATAGCCTTTTTTTGTTTTTGATTTGTTTAAATTTTTAAATGTTTAAATGCATATTTTAAAATTTTTTTTGGCGAGCACCGATCTGTTTATTTTTATTTTATTTTTTTATTTTTTTTCCTCAATTCATTTCGGTCTGAAAAAAATCATCAGCAATTTTTTTTTCATTAAAAAGGCAAAAAACTCTTAAATCTTATACAAATATTTTTAAGCATAAGGACTTTTCTTTTTTAAAACGGTGTTCATTTAAAAATATTGCTGCAGTTTTGAAAAAGCAGGTTTTCCTTTTTTTTTTTTTTTTTTTTTTTTTAAATTTTAATTTTTTAAAATTTTTCTTAATGACAAAAAAAAAAAACATTACTTTTTACTTCATGACTAATTACTTATCCATTAACAAAGTTATTTTTAATTTTATCAACTAATTTCACTTTTCTGTCAGTTTAATTACCGTCTTCGGAAACATTTTAAATGTTTTTTTTTTAAGTTGTCGTACATCACTTACAACATACAAATAAGGACAAACAAAAAAGTATTTAATTTATATATGCTAAGACTACAATTACAAATAAAACAATGTAAATAGGATTATAATTGTGTTCAATTTCAATTAAAGCTGTAAATGACATATTTTGCTATAATTTTAAATAGGTTGAAGCGTGACAGGTGGTTTTTTTTTCCCTCTTCATGAACGGCATAGTTGCACAGCTGCTATGTGATTGATTTCCTGGTCAGCGCTAGAAGATAAAAAAAAACGGACTTTTATCCCATTTCCAGGATAAAACAACATCTTAATAATAATCACTAGCATTAAAAACATCTTAAATAATCCATTAAACAAAGTATAACCCTTTCTAAACACTGTTTTGTAAAAAAAAAATTCGTTTTTCCCCCCCTTTGTTAAGTAATTACTGATATGATCACTGGTTACGATATCGAACACAAACGTTAAAGGATTTTTTTCTGCTTCAGAAATAAAAAAAAAAAAAAAAAAGATATATATTTAAAACATTGTCTATCTTTGATTTTACACGTAAAATATTGTTTTCATTCTGGTTTGGTTAAATATATAGCAATCGACACTCAGATATGCTAATTTTGTTTTGAAACTAGAATTAATTACAACAGTTGGCTAGGCGTAACTGGCTGCTTGGTTGAACAATCAAGTAATGTATGCATATTTACGGCCACATTTTAAGCAAGGTACCCTTTCTTTGAATATTTTTGTCGATTATCTAATTGTTTCCCGGGTTTTGTCTTTCTTGACAGGGGAAGCTGTTTCTGTTTTCCTAATTTTAGTGCTTAGTTTTTTCAACACTTGTCAGCGGATTTCGGAAAGGTGTCGGGGAATGTCTTTTATAGAGGAATTTTATTTGGCAGGAAAATGGCATGTGATATTGAAGTTGATTCTCCTGACATTGTATTGTTGCTGCAAGTGCAGAATTTTGTACCTGGGGGAAACCGTTGGTAGCAGTAAATACGGAATATGACAGACTTTTCATTGGTTTGCTACTAAATTATTAGATCCTAACAAATCTTATTAAAAAATAAGTGTGTATGGAAAGAAAGGATGGAAAAATGAAACCATAAGAAATAGAAAATCAGTTATTGAAAGTAGAAAGTCTTGATTGGAAAGTGTTCCGTTCTGTCGAGAAGTTGCCAATCATTAAGGATTTTTGCGTTCAAATAATTTAATAAATCTTTCATATCGATTTCTTTAAAAAAAAAAAAATGACAATCTACTTTGATTTGAACTGTAAAAAAATTGTTGTAAATGAAAATTGAAAATGACATTAAGGTGACATTTTTAAAGATATAGAAAAAAAAAACAGTTTTTTGAGATTGAGCTTTTTAATTTGTTGGCCATTTCTAAAATTTGACCTTTCGGCATCACTTTCTACCTGTCCCCCCCCTCGCTATCCATCTCTTACTATCCATTTCTCTCTCTCTCTCTTTGTGTGTGTCTCTCTATACGCGTCTGTACCTACCTCTCTCTCTCTAACCTACCTTTCTCACTCTTCATTTGTCTTCCTCTCTCTCTTCCTGCTACCCCCTTTCTCTCAAATTGTTTCTGTCTTTATCTTTACGTACACCCTTTTCTGCCTTCCTCCTAAACTGTTTTTGTTGCTCTGTGTTTAAGACAGTTTGCCACAACGTGGGAAAATTTCACTCACCCATACTGGACAAAAATTGTGGTGGTGTGTGGGTGAGAGAAATCCCCCCCGCTTTTTTTTGTTTGTTTGATGAAATTATTATTATTATTATTATTAAGGTAGTAGTAGTAGTAATAATTAAGAATCGGGTATCCCTCACCAAAAAAAAACAAAAAAAACTTTGAACATGTTCTAAGAACGTTTAAAATTCATTTTTCTTCCCTACCCAGCCAAAAGATTCCTGATGCAATGCAGTTTCTAGTCGTGATTTTTAAATTTTGTGGCAGAGATAAAACACCACGTGATAGTTTAAAAAAAAAAACATATCTTTGGATTTAAAATTAGGTATCTATTATAAAAACTAATTTAGAATTTGAATTTTTGTATTAAATAATAAAGCAATTTAAAAAAATTTAAAACCTCAGAGCGTTCAATTTCTCTGACGTCATTCATTTTTGCGCGGGTAAATTTACTTTCCGTTTTATTTTGATGTTTGTTCCTTTCTTTCTTTAACTCTTAAATACGCTTCGTTTGTCTGTCTTCGTTTGAGAAAAACAGTAAAAGTTGACCCACCCACCCCGATATAATGTCGAACACGATGTGACTCTTACTTTTAATATTTTTAATTTACTGGTCACGCAGAGCAGTCTCCCGTATTTTTAAGATAGTGTTACACTGTTATCGTAAGGATGCATTATGCAACAACAATAAGTGAACATGTCTTTAACAGAATATCTCATTAGTAAGTAGGGAAGATCAGGCTGCTAATACATTGCTTTTTATTTCTTTTGTTTTAACTTTCTTTTCACTCTTCTTAAATGATTTTAGAGAAGCAGAATTGTTTTTTATGAAGGTAATAGTTGTAGCTATAAAAATCCCAGATTTAAGCTGAAAATATAAGCAATGCAATTAGAAAATTAATCAAATTAGCAGTACCTATGAAAATTTGTCTATTTCTATTTGAATCTTCTGATGAATCATAATTAATTTAATTAAATAAGATGCTCCTTGTGACTTCCATGAATATAAAATACCCTATTGCATTAAATGTTTGAGATTAAAAACTTTAAATTATTGCTATAATTATCATATGTATGATTGCAGGTCATTATTTAAAGAAGCGGGTAAAAAAAAAAAAATGAAAAGATTTGAAATTGACAAAATTTTCTATTTCACTGAAGCAGAGATTAAAAACATCATTGCGTCATCTTTCTTTTTCCTTTCTCAAAACAAAATCGTACATTATTTGTGAGCTATTGGTAGGATGTAAAATATATAGGTAAACAAATTATTAAAGACAAAGTTGGAATTCAGGCTAATGTCCTCATTTCTGTTATTTTCAGAATGTTTTTTTTCTTCAACTGGAGTAGATAGTTTTTATCTCTTGTCCAATTCACACTCTTTCCTGGTCTTTTTAACAGGGGTAGAGGTTTATTTCTTGTTTAGGATTGGGTTTCCAGTTCCTTCTGAAGTTTTGTCTTTCATGCCTTTGTGTCTTAGTGGCATTATCACCTTCCTTGGGGTGAAATGATTAAAAAGAAAATTGTACTGCTATCTTGGGACACCTTGTTCATCTTTTTCTTTTTAATTAATAATTCTTAAAAACCTATTCTCCTCCTCATCATCATCGTCATCATTGTATTTTTTCTCTTTGTTGAGACAGGACTGGGATTAATCTTGCCCAAGGCAAGGTGGATCCTGTCTGACATGATCTTGGTTTACCTCTCCACATACACCTGTTACTAGCATCAGGTAATTCTAGGATCAATTTTTCTGTCTTTCCGAATAACCTCTTCCCAAGTCATCTAGAGCTGTCCTCTTCCTCTGTTGTGCTTGACTGCCATCCCCCGGACATATTTGATAGCAGCTCTACTCAACATGGCCAGCACAGCGTAGCCTGTAGCTGTGCAGTAGTGACTTAAACAAGAAGCACTTGTTAGGGTCTCAGCTATGGTATGGGCAAATAGTCACTCCACCTGCCAGAAAACGTCTTAAAGTATAAAAATGCATCTCTATAATAAAAATACCAGCGCTATATATATATATATATATATATATATATATATATGCATGCAGATATGACCTTGACTTCAAATCCCTGGAGGAGTATGGTAGGTGTTATGATGACTAATGAGCCCAATTTTTTCGCCCTGGAAAGTCTGCCCCATTTGTTATACGAGAGGTGGAGCCCTCTCAATCTTTCCTTTTCTGGCTTCTCTGTTCTTTGTCCCTGATTCTTTTCTCCTCAAAATCAGACACTCCGGACTTTACAAGCAAGTGCCAGACGGCATGTCCTTAGCAGACTCTTCCCAAGTGGAATAGGGAATACCACAATGCTTGAGATTCCTTCAGTGTGTCTTTGTAACACGTCTTTGGTCTGATGAGTGAGCCTGTGGATAGTTTGGCATAGAGCAATCTCTTTAGGAGGCGACTGTCGTCCATGTGGCCAGGCCACCAGAGCCTGTATCACAGTAGGATGGCACAGATGCTCTCCATCCCTAATCTATCCTACAATTTCTTAAATTAAACTGTCCCAAAATATAACTTCAACAAAGCTACCACATAAAACACACATATCACTGCCTCTAGTAGTTACATCTTCACAAACCTGTATATGCACAAAAGCTGGGTCTTATCTACCATGTATTCAGTTGTGAAAACAGAATAACATATATTTTTATTACTTTATTAAATTAAATTTCAACATTTAAATGACCCATAAGGAGTTGATATACCATTAATCAAATTAAATTTGGTCATCTAGAGCTGTCCTCTTCCTCTGCTGCCCTTAACTATCTCACGGACCTGTTTGATAGGACCTGTCACTGTGCTTGACATGACCAACATGGTGTTATCTATGGTGGCACAACAATGACTTAAGGTCATCAAGACAGCTTCTTGATAAGTGACCTGAGTGTACATGCCAGACATCCAGCATATCATGGCCTTTGTCAGTCTGCCATCAACAGGACCCATGCCTCACTAACCTGCAGCATGGTACTGTGAACGCAGTTGTTGTACACACGGCCTTAGTTCTTAACCAGGAGACAGCTGTGATGAGAGGCAAGCAGTTGCTTGTAAAATTTCTTTCATGCATCCTATTCAATCCTTCCTTGCGTGGGTTGTTGAAAAAGGTTGATACCTTGGTTGGGAAGGTGGTCAAAAACACTTTAAAGGTTTTTGAAATAGGGAAAAAAATATGATTTTTGGTAGTATTTGATCAGGCATAGCAGTATCGTTGATATTTTTTCTGCCATGAGGGCAGGATTCATTAACTTCACTTAGGTGCAAATACCTTTGGGGAAAGGTATGAATCTAACTCTTCTGTCTCCCACTATGGGTTAAATAGTAGGACTTATAATTGAAAATCAGTAAAGAATTGTTACTGCAATATTCACCCCCCCAAAAGATTATTCTGATAATCTAAAAATATTTTCTGGCTTTAAATAACCTACAAAAGGTTGATAAGCTGTAAAAAGATGAATTCATGAGGGCAGATATGATGCAAAGCCTTTTTCTCTCGGTTATGTCATTGGTTTCTGTTGTTGAAACACTGGTTGTCATATGATCAACAAAGTTAAACAATGTTCTGCCTGGTCATTACCTGGGTGGGTGACTTCTTGGGAATACCAGGTGCTGTAAGCACGGACGTGTGGCTTGTGTAATGAATATCAGTTCTGAATTGGAAATCAAAGAGGCAAGTTCCAATTCCAGTCAGGTTCGCTATATTCACTTATGTGCAAATACTCTTTAGAAATGCATGAATCCACCTCTTTTCCTCCCCAGCTATAGGTTAATTAGTAGAACTTGCATCAGTAAATCATAGAATAAATTTTTATCTAAAAACATTTACTTGCATTATTTACATTATTTGGACTGTTATCATCTTCATTGTCATATTCACAACGTTTCAGCCGTTGTACACTCCAGTCTTCTTCAGGTGATTGGAATTTCGAACTGAACCCTTTATTTCGTCCACCGGGGTAGGTTGTTCTAGTTCCGGATGCCCTTTAACTCAACTCTCTAAGTTTGGGTTCACCACTGCTGTTGTCTGGTATTGAACTCGCAAGCCTTTGTGTCTAGTCACTGGATCTAACCAATGCCTTTATCCACAGGGCCATGTTTCCTGAAGAAGGCTGGAGTGTACAACAGCTGAAACATCCTCATCTTCTTTGCCATATTCAATAATGGATAATGTAAATAATGCAAGTAATCATAATACCTCATCTCAAAGATATAGACAGATACTAAAAAACATTTTCTGGCTTTAAATAAGCTTTAAATGAACTGTCTTTTTGACGCACCATTTCCATGTGAATATATAAGTCCATGTTACCATTACCATAGGGATTGAAAACAAAACAAGAAAGGCAGGGATACTTGATGGAATCCTGATGATGTCCAAATGCTGAATGTTTCAGCCAGATTATATCTGGTTTTTCTATTTTAAATGACGTCAACTAAGAGATTATACAATTTGTCATTCGTATCTCTATGACACTGGAGACTTGTAACAAAGCATATAAATAAATAAATAAATAAATAGTCTTTTATTTTATTTTTTTATTGTCAGTTCTCAAAGAAAATGTATAAATTCACTTTCATATCTTTAGGTTTTATTAATGTTCTAATCATTGCTTTTTAAAACCACAAATGTTGCCGAGGGAGTGAAGGTACTTCAAATAATAATAGTGGTGTCAATGTGAAAAAAAACGTCTTTTTAACACTTCATTTCTTTTGCAGGCACAAAAGTTAAATATTGCCAAATTGGTTTATAAACTACAAGACCGAATGCGTGGTCATCAGCAAAAGGATGAGTCCAAAATACTAATTACAAATTGGCAATACTAAAATCAAACAAGTATAATCATTATTTGTCTATATTTCTGAGATGAGGTATTATTTACATTTTTCGAACTATTGTCCTCATCTTTGTCGCCATATTTACATGACATTAAACATGGCACGTGGAACTGGAACAGTCTACTCAAGTGAGCGAAATAAAGGGTTAAGTTCGATATTCCAACCACCTGAAGAAGGCCGGAGTGTACATCAGCCGAAACATTGTAATAAATATGGTAACAAAGTTGAGGACAATAGTCTGAATAATGTAAATAAAGTATAATCATTTAAATATCAGAAGTGTTCAAACAGAGGACTGAAAGTGTGACACTGAGATCCGAAGACGTATTGGGATAGCTGAAGATGCATTCCAAAAGTTAAGCAGAGTATTAAGAGACAGGAAAACTTTGTTAGAAACAAAAAGGATTGAACTGTTATATCTATGCTCTTGTATGGCAGTGAATGCTGGACAATTTCTTCAGATGAAAAAAACTCTAAGCAACAGAAATGTGGTTCTACAGAAACATGCTGAGGATACCATGGACCAAACATGTGAGCAATAATGAGGTTTTGTGAAAATGTAAACAAAAAGGAAACTTGTGCTTAATATCAGGAAGAGGCAGGTTAAAATTTCCAGAGTGCATAATGAGGAAGGAGGGCTTGGAAAATCTAATACTCACAGGACAAATTGAGGGCAAGAGGAAGACAGCATGTAACATACTTGATGAGCTTGAGTAAATGGATGGTTTGGGAGAAATAACAAAACTTATTAAGAGCTACAGGAAGATGTGGAGGGCCATGATCGACTACATCCTGAATGAACACAGCACATAAAAGAAAAAGAATGCTGGATAATTGCCAACTTTTTCTTTAGGAAGAGATGTTGACTTCTTTTTTTTTTTTTTTTTTTCGCTTATAAAGTGTATTAAATAATTTAATTTCTCGTAAGATATAAATATAAAAAAATGCAAATGAAAACAAATTTATTGAAGATGGATCATATTTAGTGCTTGGAATGTTGACTATGAATTTATCGGCTGTCTTTGTGAATGCAAAAGTCCTAAAACTTTTAAAGTTCTTGGATATTTTTTTTTTTTTTTTTTTAAAGCTGACCACATTTTGCTTTCTGTCAGGAAGATTTCGTATAAACTGAGAATTGCTTAAGGAAATTTTTATTTCCATAAAAAAAAATTAATAAAAACAAATATGTATATGCAGAAAACAGGCAGAGGATATCTGTAAATTTCTATGCAAGTTTCTTTTAAAAAAAATTTTTTTTTTTTTTTTCATCTTCAGGACGTAGACGATAATGGTTCGTTACAGTTACCTTTTCTTTCCATCCTTCCTTGGGACTATTAACCTGTTAATGTCAATAACACTGATCAACATGATTTTTGAAAGAAAGAAAAGACATTTAGCTAATCTAATGGTGCTGATTCTGAAAATGATCTTACTTTTTCATGGTTAGCTACTGTTTTTGCCATACAGAAATTGCTCATTTTTGGAAAAAAGATCAACTTAGGATCTTGGCTGATCGCAAAACTTAGTTAATAAAGGTCGTAGAAACCCATCAATTTTCAGGTAGGCTGAGCAATTTATATCAGCCACCTGAAATAAACTATTTTTATAAGAAAAAAAGTTTTTGAGTCTCAAATTTTAAAGAAGTACTGAGTTTTTCCACTTTATTGAGAAAATTCAAATTAATTGATACAGTTTATCAGTAATACACTTTAGTAAACCTGATAATTAAGGTGACTTAAAAAAAAATGAAACCCTAAAATCTTCTGTTTGATATTCATAAATTTATCCCATCACTTTTATCCATTCACCACGAAAGGAAACCAAACAGATTGAGAGAATTTTGTTTTCACATTTGGAAAGAAACGCCAACTAAAGACATCCCAATTGAATGCACCTATTCCATTGTACATGATACTGCTGGAATATCAAAAAGGACTTAAATAGCATTGAATATGATAGACAATAAAGAAAGAATTTTTACCATAGTTCTTATGTTCATGAAGGTTTTATTTTTGCTTTTAGTTTATTAAATGATTTGATGAAAATACTTTTTGGTCTTGGTACATTCAATTGTGTTATTTTTAAAGACTTAGGATCTGATTGTTATTGCAAAAATAGTATTTCTCAATAAGCAGACCAATATTTGTTGGTTTAAATATGAATTGAAAGGTTTCTGAGATTCTATTTTGAGAAATATTGCCATCGGTCAGTATCATATATACAGAAAACAAGTAAAAAATGCTTTTTTCCAAATGGTACCTAACGAAGAACAACTAAGGTCATTTTCAGATTCAGCTAAAAAAAGATGTTTGGTGTCTCGACACCATTTCAAAAATGTTTTGTTTTGTTGACCAGTATAATCGGTCTCTCCAGTGCCCTTGTCCTTAGTTGTCAAAAATCTGTTATGTTTTTGTTTTGTTTCTACAGACATATTATCTGAATCCCAGATTTATAGTCCT